TAAGAGGACACCTGGACACTACACACATATTTGTCATCTCCGTCTTACAAGTGCGTAACATAAAAAATGTACACTTAACAGATCACGTTTAGCACCGTTAATTTAAAAATTAGAATAAATTGATCTGTTATGAAACTTGATGTTGATGGTAAGAACATTATCTGTGAAGGTTTTTAACGATTACTTAGTTTTTAAGTGAGTTATGAGAATTTTAAATTAACGCTATTTTATATACGCAAACTTACTAAGCAATTTAACTGTCGTAAAAAACCTAAATACAAATACAGATAATATTCTTACCATAAAGTTTCATAATAGATCAATTTTAAACTGAAGGTGCTTAACGTTATCTGCTACGCGTAAATTTGCTATATTACGTAATTGTAAAACGGAGACAACAAACATGTGTGTAGCCTCTCAAGAGGAAAAACAACTGCTGTTCACGTTTCTTCTGCTAATCTAGTTTTTCGGATGGAAGTAAGATTAATTTTTAAACTCCAACATCTTACATCAGTAGCAGATTATGCCGATGACAAGGTTATTATATCTATGAATGACAATCCATTCATAGCCTCCGCAAACCTTCAAACTCACCTAGACCTTATGRAKAATTGGTATACCAAATGGAGATTTAAATTAAACCATAGCAAGTCTATACACACCACCTTKACACTTAGACCAGCTCTTACCCCTGAGGTAACTCTTTACGGTGCTCCAATCCCACCCTCTCTTTCAGTTAAATACCTTGGTCTTACATTAGATAAAAGACTAACTTGGGCACATCATATTAGAGAAAAAAGACTTTCACTGAACAATCGCTTTCGTATCCTCAAACCTCTAGTCTCTAATAAACACACCTCCCTTCATGTCAAACTCCTCATCTACAAAACACTACTGAAACCAATCTGGACGTAGGGGATACAGCTATGGGGAAATGCAAAAAAGACAAATTTAAATAAAATTCAATGTTTTCAAAACATTGCGCTTAGAAAATTAATAAATGCTCCTCCATACATATCTAACCATACTCTCCATACAGACCTAAAATTAAAAACTATCTACGAGGAA